CCCTAAGCAGAAGATGGAGACTCAAGGCAGGTCCAGATCTAAGTATGGATTAGGCTCACAAGGCCAGGGTAAGCCTACCATGCAAGAGGCTTCATCAGGGCCTGTGGAAACATGTGTACTGGATCTGATCCTGGATTGGGTCCACAACTGCTCTGGAATTTTTACATCTCCCAGAGGGTTTAACAGAGTCTATAAACCCAGGCTGAGGACTGGATACGACATTGGGTTAGGCCACCATGGTGTACAGAATGAGTTCCAGAATATCCAGAGCTACATAGTAAGATCCTGTCTCAAAAAATGAACAAACAAAATGAGTTAGGGGACTAGAGAGCTAGCTTTCTAATGCAAACACTCACACTAGCCCAAAGTCTTGACCATAGTCCCCTAAACCTTAACATTACAAAGTATAAAACACTCTCATACCTAGACCTGGCCCTACCTTACATCTTAGGGATCATTTATATTCACAGATATGGTAATTGAATGTTACAGAAAAAAATGGACAAAATATGAAACCGATCAGATTTTGTGTAAAAAACAATTTTAATGCTAACACTAACCCTAAGACCCTGACCATAATCCCCTAACCCTAATCCTAACCTTAATATAACCGTAACAAAATACTCCTTACTTATAAATAACAAAACTAATATAACCTTAGGCATAATTTACATTAAGGGACACGGTAATTTGATGTTAAGTCAAAAAATAGGATAGAGTATGAAACCTATTGGATTTGGTGTAAAACTTTCCCAAATATGGAGATTAGAAACTCAGTTTATGAGAAACATGATTGGACCTTCTTTGAGGCATTAAAAAATTTAAACCTGCAGGGTGATGGTGGCACATACCTATTATCCCATCACTCCAGAGACAGAGGCAGATGGAACTCTATGAGTTTGAGGACAGCCTGGTTTATAGAGTGAATCTGAAGACAGCCAGGACTACACAAAGAAAAACCCTGTCTTGGGGAAAAAACAAAAAACAAAACACAAAACCACCACCAACAACAACGAAATAAATAAATAAAAATAAATAAATAAAGCAAAAAGTTTAAACTTGCCGTTACTGGGCCAATAGATAACTCTATGATGCTTTATAGCTCTATTATCTTGAATCAGAATGACTGGAGATGTTCTCTGCAGATTCCAGATGGAATGAAAGCTATTAAACTAGAAATGGTACACCCAGGCAGTGTGATGGATTGAAGAACTTGCAGTCATAGAAGTCTCTCCACCAAAGGTAAAGACTAAAGAGCAGCACTTAACATCTATAGGGTCTTAGGGGCTCCTCGAGTTCCTTTGTTTCTACAAAATGCCTCTGCCTCAGTCACAATGTTTTTGTCAGGAAGTCAGCTGCTTTTAGCCCCTCTGGTGGTAAAACCATAACAGAGCCTGGCATGTCCAGGTCTGCCTGACATGCAGAAGTCCAAGTAACAAGGTTTGGCTGTACAACAATTCTTAAAGATTCTCTCTCTGTGTCTCTCTGTGTCTCTCTGTCTCTGTCTCTATGTGTATTTATACATAATTGTGTGTGTATGTGTGTGCGCGCGCACGCGCCTATTTACTGACTCTTGGGCCTTAGCAAAATGTATTGCAATCTGCTCTAAAACCGGAAAAAGGCAAATTTTTACAGTCAGATATTTGGTCTAAACAGGCCTGGATTTTTAAAACAAGATATGATATCAAAATATCTGTGATGGAGGCATGACACAAGCAAAGATATAGAAGAAGCCAGACATAATATCATTATGATCAACTATCTAAGATCAATGCAACCAGATATAAGATTAACCAGGAACAAATACTTAGAACTAGAATCAAAAGGGAACATGACACATGGGAATAAATACTACCTACCATTAAGCTAGAGAAGATCCTTGTGTTTATTGCCACTACATCAGAAACTAGGACATCAAGGAACACAAGGACTAAGACACTGGATAGATTAATGCAATATTCAGGCACCTTGGCGTGTTATTAATACTATTAGCCAGATGTTTGTGGCACACAGCTTTAATCCCAACACTCAGAAGGCAGAGGCAAGAGACTCTCTGAGTTCAAGGTCAGCTTGGTGCCACAGAGTGAGTTCCGGGACAACCAGGGCTACATAGAGAAACACTATCTTGAAAAACCAGCAACCAAATGACCAAATACTATCAAAGGTTGTGAAAAAATTCTCAGATACTTTTCAACTAGATACAACTCTACTGGTAAGGCTATACCCTGTAAGATAGATGTATTTAACTATACAATATAAGTACACTTCAAAGGACCATTGGCCAAATATAGGAGTAAATATACATGAACAATGGCAGACACCTTAGGCATAGTAGTAGTACATACTCTACATAGCAAGCCTCCATGAACAATCTTTGGTTCTGGTACATGGCCTTTGTCCTAAGTTTATAATAATAGACTCTGATAAAGGCTCATACTTCACAGGAAAAATGATACAAGAACTCGCAAATAATTAGATATATAATGGAATTTCTATACACCATATATCAGGAAATATGAGAGATGTAATTCCATGATTAAAGAACAATTAATGTTGTCTGGTTAAGTTAACCTGCAATTGGATTTTATTAATGAAGCAGTTTATATCCTGACCCAGCTGGGACTCAGCCTGTCTATAATAGTTTGTTCTTTTCCAACATCTGGACTTCAGCAACACCTCCAATAACATCTGTAGATATTAGACACTGACTTCACTATTTGCTTCAGTGGCACACTGGTTGAAAGATGAAATGAAAGATAAAGGTGGCATTGCCACTTTCAAATTAATGTTCGAACTTAGTAGGACATAGTATTAGACTAATTGCACAGACCCTAATTGGTCTATAGCAGCTCTCATCACGGTTTGTGACTTTACTACCTTAATTAAGTTTTATCAATTCCACTCACTTTATATGCAAATTGGTTTTGAGATTTGGCCTCCCAGATATGAGTTATCTTGTTCCAGACCTATTTCAATTAGGAGAAGAACTACCAGATATACCATTATTTGAAAGCATAATAACCTTTCTAAAACTTATAAACAAATTTGTACTTACTACGCAACTGCATATTGGGATCAGAGTTTGCTTTGGTCCTGGAAGACAAACATGAAATTAGATCTTAAGACCTAATGGTAGATACACACCCCATCACTCTCCTCACACTTTATATTGCCTTAATTGTAGTCTTACTGACCTCAGTTTTGAACTGGCTCTATATCAAATACAATGAACACCTCTATCCAAGCACTATGCACCTACTGGGATACCACACTGATCACTAACACCACATGAAGTGGATCAAACCTCTCTTTGTGCTGACGATAGGTAGAAGGCCCTCTTTGAAGCTATTACCACTACTGTCAATACAGCCATCTGGACCTAGCCCACTATATTTATTCCCCCAGAACTCCTCCAATATTGTAAAAGGATGGAAGGACTTAATGCAACCATCAGACTTAATAATACCAATGCAATAGCCATCTACTGGAATGCTACAGAATGGGCACACAAACCTGTTGTTCCATTGCTGTGAAGAGACACCACAGCAACACTTATAAAGGAAAACATTTAATTGGGTCTGGCTTACAGGTTCAGAGTTTCACACCATTATCATTATGGAAAACATGACAGCATCCAGGCAGAAATGATGCTGGAGAGGTAGCTGAGAGTTATGTCTCTTGATCCACAGGCAGCAGAAGGAGACTGATGTGACATACTGGCCAGACTTGAGCTTTTTAGACTTCAACGCTTACACCCAGTGGCCTACTTCCTCCAACAAGGCCACACCTACTCCAACATGGCCACACCTCCTAATTGTGCCATTCCCTATAGCCAAGCATTCAAACACATGAATCTATGTGAGCCATTCCTATTCAAACTACCACATCTGTTGAACTGCACACGGTAATAAATGCAAACAGGCTATGCAAAATAGTAAGCGTTATAATCCATGACTTAAGAGCTTTACCAACCTAGACAAATGCAATAATCCTACTAAAGCATCTAGAAATACTAATTGTTGAAAATATCTGGAGGATTACAGAAAGACACACACAAAAAAAGCAATTTATGCAGATCACTGGATATACTTAGAACAAACATATAAAATCGATGTTGATCAACACATTTCATCTGCTGGGATGCCCTCCCTACAAGATGAGTTTTTAATTACTCAAAGCTAATATTCTGATGGAACTTTTACAAGTAGCACAGCATGAAAGTCAGCTTTATGTCAATTCTGGTACCCATCTGGGGTAGAAAAAAATGAGGACTATGACTATGTAGAAACTGAGGTATCCAACAATAAGGATGACACAACCATAATAACAACCAAACTGCCCCCTCTCAAGCCATATTTTAATCCATCCAATGACAGTATATCCTTCCCATTTAGAATACAAGAAGGAACAGATTTTTTAAAAATGAGCAATGACAGTATATATTGTGTTTTAGGCTTCACTAATTTTCCGTACTTTGAACAACCCTGTCTGTCCACCCATGAGGTGAAGGATTTCTCAGAGGTCTCATCTTGGGACAGCTGATCTCTAACATCTCTTAATCAGATACCCCATCATTATGGGATTCTAATGCTTTTGGAATGCATTGGGACATATACCAATACCCACTTGTGCCTACTGAACCCAAATGTCGGTCCTACTCTTTAGCAAGCTCACAACAAAAAGGCTTTAAAACAGAACCAAGCACTTAACCTCCTAAGCACTTACACTCCTAAGCACTTACCCTCCTAAAGTCCTATCCCGTGATTTCACATTATTGGAAACCAAGCTACTGGGCACACGTAAATTTAATTGTCACAGCCCCAAACTGTAACTCTACATTGCCTAACTTTGAAATGATTTGTGTATGTTTAGAAGTAAAACAAAACCTTCCACTTTTAGGGAGTCACAATTTGACAATATTCGGGGCAATCAACTTGTAGGAAACTGGTTAGCTTATGCAGAAAATCCCAACTCGGCAAGTGCTGGCCAGATGCGGGGACATGGGGTCTCCCGGCCCGGGCCTCAACCTCGGCCTCGCCGCCGCCGCCGCCGCCGCCGCCACCGCCGCCGCTGCTCTGCCCGCGGGGTTGTCGTACAAGCCGAACTTGACTGCGCACCTGCCCGCCGCCGGCGCCGCCCTCAGCGCCGGAGGTGTCCACCCACCAACTACTAGCATGGCGACCTCCTCCCAGTATCGCCAGCTGCTGAGTGACTATGGGCCTCCATCGCTAGGCTACGCCCAGGGAACTGGAAATAGTCAAGTGCCTCAGAGTAAATATGCAGAGCTGCTGGCCATTATTGAAGAGTTGGGGAAAGAGATCAGACCCACGTATGCAGGGAGCAAGAGCGCCATGGAGAGGCTAAAACGAGGCATCATTCATGCCCGAAGCCTGGTTCGGAAGTGCTTGGCTGAAACGGAACGTAATGCCATGTCCTAGCCCCTGGCCAGTCTGAAGGCCTATCTTGCTACTCCGTGGAGATGAGAGGCTTTGTTCAAAATGGCAGTAACTTTTCTACTACAGTCATCAAGCTCTGAATCCACACTCAAAAGATTGAGAAGACATTTTGCAGTAACCGACGATGTGCATTTTAAGTAGTTAGGAATGACGCAGCTCTTTTTTCTTTCCAAGCATTTAAAAGATGTTTGTGAAGCCACTTCACAACAAGCTATTGTTTGTCCCCAAATACCAGTGTCCCCTTTAACCTCCCATTTGGATTTATTTTCCATTTGCATCACCCCAGTTGACTTCCTTTCCGTGAGCTCACCTGCCTCTGAGGAGTTGACTGCAGACCACAGCACGTTTGCTTAGTAGCTGGCCCGCCTGTGTACAGTGTAGACCCTGCTTCATGGAGCCTCTCTGCTTAAGCGGTTGCATGACTGAGTGCTTTGAAGTCAATCTTTAAAATGCACAGGTTATAAATACAGAAGAAAGAGCAAACTACCCAACCTACCAAGCACCCTGCAAATGTTCATCCTGAGACTGTAAATCTCAGTTCCATGTTTACTGTGAGCCCATCACAACATCTGGAAGAAAACGACTGAAACTGTTGCATCTTTGTATTTATTACTTGATGTAATAAAGCGTATTTTCATTAAAAAGAAAAGAAAACCCCAACTCTAAAATCACTGTCCAACACAGATGGAACTTATCTGGAGAAGGGTGTCTCCTACTGGTACGGGGTGGTACTACAATGAGATGAGCACGCATACTAAGCTTTGGCTCAATGTAACAGTTCTGGCTGACAAACATAATATGTCAATAACCAAAACACTACTAAAAGCATCTAGTGTGATGAATCAGGCATCAAATATATACAGTGATCAAATATATACAGCAGTCATTAACAGTTAATCAAGAACTCACATCCATTTAGTTTGATGGTGTCTATTGGCTTGCTGTATATTGCTTTGGTTCTGTTTACATATGTGCCCTGTATCCCTGATTTCTCTAATACCTTTAACCCAAATGGGGCGTTGGATTTTTATCAAAGTCTTTTTCGGTATCTATTGAGACAATCATGTGATTTTTTTCTTTCAGTTTGTTTATATAGTGGATTGCATTGATGATATTAATATATTGAACCATCCCTGCATCCCTGGGATGAAGCCTACTTGATCATGATGATGTTTTTGATGTGTTCTCTGATTCAGTTTGCTAATATTTTATTGAGTATTTTTGCATCAATGTTCATAAGGAAAATGGTCTGAGAATTTTTTTTGTTGAGTCTTTGTGTGGCTTGGGTATCAGAGTGACTGTAACCTCACAAAATGAGTTTGGCAGTGTTCCTTCTATTTCTACTTTGTGGAATAGTTTGAGTTGTGGTATTAGTTCTTCTTTGAAAGTCTGGTAGAATTCTGCACTAAAACCATCTGGCCCTGGGCTGTGGGTGGAGGTTTGGGAGACTTTTTTTAAATGCATCCCGAGAAGTTTTATTATGCTCTAAAGGCAACAGAATCCAAAAGCATCCACATCCCCACACATCCCCAGCTGCTGAGTCATGATTGGTGGAGAATTATCCGTGAAGCATAGAGAGGCATATGAGCTCAGGCATCTGCTTGTTCACTGGCTCATGCTCAGCCGTTTTTCATATATTATCCAAACCAACTTGCCTAGGGCATGATGCTGCCCAAAGAGGGGTGAGTCCTCCCACACCATTCATCGATCTGACAACCTCTTAAAGACATTCCTCAATTTAGGTTCTCTCTTTCCAGATGCGGTGGTGTGGATCTTGGGAGACTTTTAATGACTGTTCTCCCTCCCTTAGGGGTTATAGGGCTGTTTAAATAGTTTTCCTGAACTTGATTTAACTCTGGTAAGTGGTATCTGTCTAGAAAATTGTCCATTTCACTGAGATTTCCCCATTTTGTGGAGTACAGGCTTTTGAAGTAAGACCTAATAATTCTTTGAATTTCCTCAGTATCTGTTATGTCTCCCTTTTCATTTCTGACTTTGTTTACTTGGATACTGTCTTTCTGTCTTTTGGTTAATCTGGCTAAGGGTTTGTCTATCTTGTTGATTTTCTCAAAGAACCAGCTCTTGGTTTCACTGACTCTTTGTACTGCTTTCTTTGTTTCTAGCTGAATGATTTTAGCCCCAATTTTAATTATATCCTGCCTTCTATTACTCTTAGCTGTACTTGATTATTTTCTACAGCTTTCATGTGTACCTTTTTAAAAACTAATTTTATTTTTTACTTATTCATGTTACATCCCACTCACTGCTCCCTCCCACTCACCCCTCCCACAATCCTTCCCCCATCTCCCTCCCCTTCTCCTCTGAGTAGGTGAGGCCTCCCTGGTTATCTCTCCACCCTGGCACTTCAAGTCTTTGTGAGGCCAGGCGCTTCTCCCACTGAGGCCAGACAAGAGAGCCCAGCTAGAAGAACATATCCCACAGACAGACAACGCTTTTGGGATAGCCCCTCCTCCAGTTGTTTGGGACCCACATGAAGGTCAAGCTGCACATCTGCTGCATATGTTTGAGGAGGCCTAAGTCCAGCATGTGTTCTTTGGTTGTTGACTCAAACTCTGAGAGCTCCAAGCATCCAGGTTAGTAGACCATGTTGGTCTTCCTGTGGAGTTCCTATCCCATTCAGGGCCACAATCGTTCCTCTTATTCTTCCATAAGAAACCCCAAGCTCCATCCACTGTTTGGCTGTGGTTGTCAGTATCTGTCTGAGTCAGCTGCTGGAGGAGCCTCTCAGAGGACAACATGCTCCTGTCTGCAGGCATAATAACAGAATATCATTAATAGTTTTAGGGATGGGTCTCAAGTTAGGCTGCTTATTGGATGGCCATTCCCTCATTCTCTCTGCTTCTTCCCCTGTGCCTGCATTACTTGTAGACAGGGTAAATTTGGGGTTGAAAGTTTTGTGGATGGGTTGGTGTCTCTATCTCTCCACTGGAGTTCCTGTCTGGCTATAGGAGGTGGCCTTTTCAGATTCCATATGCCCAATGAAGTGAGTCACAGCTAAAGTCACTCCCATTGATTCTTGGATGCCTCCTTATCCCAGGTCTCTGTCTTGTCCTAGAGATGCCCCCCCACCTCCAACACACCTGACAGTTGCAGACTTTTTTATGTTTAAAAATATGTCTTTAACTAAAATTAAAGCATGCTATAGAATACCACCATAAGATACTTAGAATTGTATTTGTTGTTTGCTTGCTTTGTCATTCTCAATATCTTTGGCTATGGCAGGTATCAAATGAGGAAATGGAAATGATTTGTATAAAATATACTTTTAGTAAAACTTTTTAGATAGAGGGGAGTTGCTGGGTATTAAACCAGTGTCTCATGCAGACTATTTTCTCTGCTTATGAAAAAAAATCTTAAAAACATCTTTCATCCCTTGTAAAACACCTAAATTTTAGATATATCACATACTTATCTGGGCAATAATTTTATCTGATTTTGAATTCTGTCAATAGTGAAATGATGGTTAATTCATGTCCAAAATCCAAGAGGATCAGGGATGGATGCATGGCTAGTAGGAGAGCGCTCGCCTAGAGTGTGAGCCTACAGCATCATCTCAAGCCCCAAATCAAAACAGAAAATTTTGGCTTCAAACTAAATCCTAAATGATTAAATACTTAACATCTGAAATGACTGAGATTCTGTGCCTAGGGGGGACATAGTTCTAAATAAATTATAAAATTATCCATGGAACTTATTAGAAAAGTTTTTCATGCTACATAAGACACAATCCAGGAAAACCATATAGCTCCATGGTTAAAATAGTTTAAAGAAATTTTTTAAATATTTTAAAATTATAAAGGGAGAGATTGGTTAAGAATACAAATTGCTCTTCCAGAGGATGCAGTTTCTAATGTCAGCTGCCAGATGGTGGGACACACCTGTCTACAACTTCATTGGAGGGGATCTGCTGCCCTCTTCTGGCCTTCTTGGGTACCAGATATGCCCATGGTACACATGGTGCAAAACACCCATACACTTAATTTTTTTTAATAAATAAAAAGAAAATCTAGAGTCATAAATACAAAAGAAAAATGATTGTAGGGCGAATTTTGGGATATTTGATTCCATCTCACTTTAAGGCGCATTCCCAGAAATCATTTTACACCTTAAGAAAGGGAACATATACTACTAGATAGTAAAAGGTATAAGAGTTTGGAAATAGATCTCACTGTTAAAGCACTTGCTTAGCATGCATATGAGTTTGGATTTGATTCCTAGCATTGAAAGAAAAATATAAATTGCATTAAGATGAGACAGAAAAGTCCATTTCTATCAAATTCACTCATTATATTAGCCTCTCTCTCTCTCTCTCTCTCTCTCTCTCTCTCTCTCTCTCTCTCTCTCTCTCTCTCTGTCTCTCTTTGTGTCTCTCTCTCTCTCTCTCTCT